AGACACAAATAATAAACCTAAGTTTATTATAAGGAAATTGAAGTTAGAGTTAATAAATTACTGTTACTGGATTTTGGATTGGCTAGAAAAACCTCTTTTTCGAAGGGTAGTTTTACTCCTGAATTTTTTATTATTTTAAAATTAATTATTATATCAATGTAGGAGGTTTCCTAGTCTATTGCCTAATTCGAACTGATATATCTAGTTTGTATTATCTAGTATTTATTTTTGATTTCTTAAATAAAGAAATCTGATTGGATCTGCATACGTGAAAAATAAATACTGATTATTTTACTAAACTTTATAAAAACAAGCCTAGCTATTTTTTGTTAAACAAAAATTTTCTTCTTGTTATATACTCTATTGTAGTGTTTATCTTGCTCTCATGTTTTCTGGATATTTATACTACAAAACAACAACTACAAGGAGATGTATGATTTGGCAAGTATAAAACAATTAAAAGAACTAAGAAACAATTAAAGAGAATCAAAGAGACTATAGGTGTTCTCAACAAAAGTTAATTCCTTTTTTTTTTTATTAAAGGAACTTTATATTATTTATATATTTTTTACAAGTTTGTATTAGGAAAATATGACCAATATATATTTTATATACAAATTTTATTATTTTTGGTAGTATTTCTAAGAGCAACTATAGGATTCAGAGTTATAGAATTACACGTTTTACTTATCAGCTAGGACCTTAGTCACAGTATTCCTCCTAGCATTTTTCTTAAATAGATTATTTGGTGATTCTAATGTATAATATTTTTTTATTTTTATTTTATTTTATTTTATTTTTTTATTTTATTTTTATTTTTATTTTTTTTTTTAAAAAAAGAATTTTGATTAATGAAAATTGTAAACTGTCAATATCAGACTCAGTATACTTGAATTTGGTTTGAATTAATAGTTTCAACCAAGCTGAAACTACCTGTAATTTATTGCAGTCTAAACTAAACTGATGCTTCTCTGTTAATTTCAAATGTCAAGACTCACTATACTTGAATCTGGTTTGATATTAATAGTTTAAACCAAGCTATAGACTACCTGTAATTAATTGTAATCTAAACTAGTTTGATACTTCCCTATTAATTCAAATGTCAAGACTCATAGTACTTGAATTTGATTTGGCAGCTTTAGAGTAGATATCGATCGAAATCTTTGAGAATAAACTATAACTCTGTGTTTTTTTTTGAATAGACTCAAATCTGACAGAGCACAGGTTTATTTTCATTCTTTTTTTTTTTTGATATATTATACGAAGGACTTTTGACTTTCTTTTTTTTTTTCTATCAAATACTCAAGTGATATTTTCGACATATACGGTATTAACAACAGAAATAGAGAATACAACTACAAGAAGACATACGATTTGACAAGTATAAAGCAATATAAAAAGAATACAGAGAACAATTAAAGGAGGCTTTAAAATTAATAAATAAGTAGCAAATTTTAAAATTAAATTTGATTTTTTTTTTAAAAAATAATATTTTTACTATATGTAATTTAATATCAATAAGTTATGTCAAAATAATTTTTTGAAAATAAAAAAAAGTTATAATGCAAAAATTGTAATATATTTTTTATTCTTTTTTTTTTTTTTTTTTTTGAAATTAATACTATGATACAAAATGTTTTTTAAAGAAATAAATAAGGAATAACCAAAAAAAAGTAAATAGAAAAAATCTATAAAAGTACAAAAAGAATGTTCAAATTAAAAAAAAATCAATACGACAGCTTTTTTTTTAGAATATTCAGTAATTAAAGAATGGTAATAAAATCATTTTGATTTTTATTTTTAAATTCTGTTGGTACTTCTTTTTGTGTTAATTTTATATAAAGACAAAACGTATTAGTAAATATTCAAAAACAATAGAAAAAAAATAAAATCAATAAAAATAAAACAAATATTTATAGTAATTGATATCAACCATAAATCCACCATCATCATTTCCAACACTAATTAAAATATTACTTGTAACATTAACTTTCAAATCACCATTTACAGCATCTACTAAACTTTAACACTAATTTTCAATTCAAATTCCATATCATCGGTTATTAAACTTTGTCCACTCTGAAGTATTATTTGACCATCCATACCAAATTTTTGATTAATAATTCCAATTAATTTATCTTTCACTGTAACATTCATATCAATCATTAAAAATCTTATCACTGTATTTAACGGGTTAAATATCTCAATTGAAGCTTTCCCTTTTTTATCAAATAGTGAATTAAATCTAATTGAGAAGAATGCTTTTTTTAGAATTGGTGTTTCAGTTACAAGACCAGGTATAACTGTTGTCAATTCTAAAGTTTCAAAAGCTTCCCGTAAAGGTTCTAAAATAGTGGAATTTGTTGTTCCTTTAATTATTACATTATTTGTTTTCCCTGCCAAAAAATTATTCAATAAATTTCGTCCAATTTGTTGTTTTTTGTCATTATTATTTGGTGAAAATTGTGCAAGGACTGTGAGATTATTTTCACCACGATTAAGTTCAAGATTTTTGTTTCATTACATAATAAATCAAATTTGACATCGCTATCAAGAACGACTTTAACATTTGATAGATTTAACATACTAACCAATAATTTAATATTCATAAATTCCGGTGATCTACTAATAACTTTTAAAGAATTAATTATAGTTAGTGATGATTTAAGACCTTGAATTCCTTGTAGTGTTGTTTGAACTTTGAATTTTATTCTTTCAATTGTTACGTTACCAACTGATATATTGATATCAATATAATAATATATTTTCAACAAACTAAAACGGCATTTAAATAGTAAAGTATTCAACACACCCAAAAAATCCATAGTTCCCTTAATTAATTGATAAGAACTATACCCATTAGCTAATTTCTTTCTTCCGTCTACTCCTCCACCATATAATAAATAGCACATCAACATCTTCTATACAAATGCATAGAATCCACTCCACCCATCTTCATTACCACCTATGCCTCTTTGATGAAGCCACATCTTAGCTAGCTTACATGCATCGTTAAATGCAGGATAATCTTTTGAGTTTTTATATAATAGGTTTAGATGAGAAATGCAATACATGTCTTTTAATATAGCAGAATTGTATTGCGGTGTTGACGGAAGAGAATCAGTGGAATACAAAGTAATATTCGAATAATCAAATTAGGAATAGAAAATTCGGTATCAGAGCTATCTATATAGAATTCATAACACTTATTAATTCAAATTATGTATGATTAACTCTGTGCAAACATAAGTGTTAATTTAAATCACACCTTTAAGTAAAATAGTTGGACGACACCTATCTCCATTAAGTGCGCCAAATTCTACTTTTACGTTCAATATCGAATTCTTGTCTTGCAAAGCAGCGGATAATACAGCAAGATAATATACGCGTTTATAAAAATAACGATGATTCATGTAATCTTTTTCTTGAAATATAGACTAATAGATCATTTCACGAAATTTATGTATATATTAAATGCATATATAGAATAGTAACTGTTTTATTTTTAAATTGAATAAGATGTTTCACCTTTGGCATAATGACCACTACGTCTACACTAAATCCATTT